TTCACCATGTTGGTCAGGCTGGTCTCAAACTCCTGACCTCAGGTGATTCACCCCACTCAGCCTCACAAAGTGCTGGGATTATAGGTGTGAGCCACTGCGCCCAGCCCCCAGCCCCACTGATTTTTATTAGCTATATACGAATCATGCCCCTGTTGGATTAGAAACTTCTAGAGCTTTCCAGGCTTGTTTCTGTATTGACAGCTGGGAAAAGTACAGCACCTTATCAATATTTGAAGATTTGGTAGACTTTGTGGAAGAAAATGAATTTCAATCAAACCCCCACACCATAGTGATGGATTTGAAATTAGGTGTGATCAAAGCTTCTAAAAGTGAATTTGAAGATGTCACCAATAAAGTTGTCTTTTCTGCTCAACCCAACAAACTGAGTGGAAAATTCAGATGAGGCCAGAACTTCCATTTAAAGCTGCGTCATTTGCCTGCGTGGGCGTTCCTTCCCCGGAGCTCGCAGGGAATCAACAGCTGCATTTGCCCTAAGAAGCCGGGGAAGTTACCAACAGTTCGAAAAGACGGGTGTGTGGTAGGATGACAGGACGCTTTGTGGCGGCGTTGCTGCTCCGTCACACAGCACTATTCCCGCCGAATCTGTGGTCTGTGTATGCAGCCCATGCAAATGGACCTCCCGCACCCCAAACGACCCGAAGCGCGGCACAAAAGACAGGAGAATCTGATGGGAATGCTCACGCGGTCCGGCCGAATCACAGAACAATTTCAAAAACAGCAACACCGGCTCTTTGGCGCCTGAGCTCAGGAGTTCGAGACCAGCCTGGCCAACATGGTGAAACCCCGTCTCTATTGAAAATACAAAAATTAGCCCAGTGAGGTGGTGCGCACCTGTAGTCCCAGCTACTCAGAAGGCTGAGGCAGGAGAATCACTTGAACCCAGGAGGCGGAGGTTGCGGTGAGCCGAGATTGCACCACTGCACTCCAGCCTGGGCAAGAAGAGCAAAACTCCGTCTCAAAAAAAAAAAGAGCAGTGCCACATAGAAGAGGAATGTGAGCGTGTTCTCCAAGGAGAGTCACGTCCCACAAGCAAGCAAGCAGCTATCTGTTGAAATGCTCAACGTCAACACGTGGTCGGAAAGCCAGCCAGCTCTTAGGGACTATCTCTGTGCCAACTGCCAGTCACCTGCCCCTGTCATGAATCGAATTTTGTTTTCCTTTTAGTTTTTTTCCTTTTTTTTTTTTTGAGACAGAGTGTCACGGTCACCCAAGCTGAAGTGCAGTGACACAATCTCGGCTCACTACAACCTCAGCCTCCCGGGTTCAAGCAATTCTCCTGCCTCAACCTCCCAAGTAGCTGGGACTACAGGTGCCTGCCACCACACCTGGCTAATTTTTGCAGTTGAGTAGACCCAGGGTTTCACCATGTTGGTCAGGATGGTCTCAAACTCCTGAGCTCAGAGGAGCCACCCACCTCGGCCTCCCAAAGTGCTGGGGTTACAGGTGTGAGCCACCACGCCCGGCCTTTCCCAGGATTGTGAATGGTCAGCTTTGCTCCTTACAGCCCGCTGTGCTCCGCGTTTCATCTCTGCGTGATCTCCTGTGCCGGAGGCTACACTGTGTGGACCTCTAGAGGGTTCTCTTTCCTCTCATGCACTTTCTGCGTGTCCAACTCTGCGAACGTGCATGATCACGGTGCTGCGCTGTGCACAGAAACCTTGAACTTCCTCCGTAAATGAAGAGATGCCCCGTTTGTACATTTGCATTTGGGCAAGATAAAATTCTCAAGATACTGGCTCTGTGGGCGACGGCGCGAGTGGCAGTGACCAGCGAGGTTTTGACGGATCTTATCAAGAGACTGAGGTCATCATCACAGTATTTCAGACAACTGCAGTGATGTAGCCAGGTGCACACGGTCACCGACCAGAGTAGCATGGGTTTATGCATTTCCCTTTTTAATGCATTTTACCTATTATTTTCTTTTTATATGGGGTCTCACTCTGTCACCCAGGCCGGAGTGCAGTGACACCATCACAGCTCACTGCAGCCTCGAACTCCTGGGCTCAAGCCATCCTCTCACCTCAGCTTCCTGAGAAGCTGGGACTGCAGGTGTGCACCACCATGCCTGGTTAATGAGGAGGCAGGCCGGCCACGGTTATTTTTACGAGAGGCCACGTAAAGTGTAAGCTTCCAGCCCAGGACACAGTGAGGTCCACGGGCCCGGGCTGGGTCCCCCCAACACTTCGCTCACTGCACCCACTCCCGCACACGCATGCACACATGTTCGCCTGCCAGCCAGGGCTGCTTGTGCTCACACACGCACACGTACCCCTCCATGCACATGCCTACTGCACACGCTGGCAGCCTCGGGGTGGGCACCCAGCCCTCCCGCAGTGTGGGGACCTGCCCCTCTCTCTGCTGCAGGGCCCCTGCACGTCCCCGGGGGTTGCTACCCTGGCATCTCTAAGCCTGCCTCTCCTGTCCCTCAACAGCCAGCCCCACAATCAAACATGGGTGCCCAGCCCGGCCCAGGAACAGAAGCGAGTTCCCTCAGCTGGACACTCAAGAGGGACGTCCCCTCTGCTGACGCATGACACAGGCCAGCCCTGCCTCCAGCAGCACCAGATACCCAGGTCCACCCCAAGGCTGGTCCAAGGGTGGGCAGGCACCTGGAGTGCCCCCAGTTCCCCAGGACGCTGACCCCGACAGTGCAGGAGCCCCCAAGGGACAGGATCCGGATTCGGTCACGGCCCTGGCTCTTTGCTCCTCGACTCACACTGGCTGTCCCCTCACACCACAGCCTGCAGTCCCGCCCTTCCCAGGGGCCCACCCTCCTGTGCACTTTGGCCCTGACGCCGCCCGGCACCCAGCTGGCCCCCAAGGGACCTGCACGGACTGAGTCCCCCACTCAGTGCCAGCTGGGCAGTGGCGGAGGGCTGCCTGGCGCAGGCTTGCCAAGGAGGAAACGGGCAGGTCCACGGCCAGGGCGGCCACGCATCGCAGTTATTTTTAGACAGGACTTGCAAGGCCGCCTGTCACAGAGGGAAAAATAAAACAGAATCTGACGCACCCATTCGCGCTCCAGTGGCAGCTGAGCGTCTCACCATTCCCGCCAGACCCCACGGCAGAGGGCAGGGCAGAGCCCAGGCCTCCAGATCTAGGGTCTGAGCAGGACTGTCCTCCCCATCAGTCGTCCCTGGGCCCAGGAGGTGCTCTGAGGGATGCCTGCCCTGGGGCCGCAGGGAATCCAAGCAGTCTCCCAGGGAGAGAAGGTGCCTGAGCTGGCGGCTGCTGGTCAGTACCTGCACCCAGCTCCCTGGGAAAGAAAGTAGGGCATGTGCCGGCCCCTGACGCCCCTGCTCCCACCTCGGTCCATTTCCAGGTGGGAGCTGCTAGCATCAACCCTGCACGGGGTTGCAGGGAGTGAAGCAGCAGGCCACCTCTCACCATGCACAGACCCAAGGCCTCATGCCCTGGACCTGCCCCCCGCCCTGAGCCTGGCTCCCATAGGCCAGCTGGCCAGGGCTGCCCGACGCCAGACACAAACCACGGACGGAATGACTTCAATAGGCACTCACCCGAGGGGCTCGGGAGCGCGGGGCAGGCGCTGGAGACACTCGCTGCATGTTTCGTCAGGGAAAGGCAGGCAAGACCACCACGGGCAGCACCCACGTGGTCACAAGCCCTGGTGTTATAAAAACAGCAACCCGCCCTGGCGGGAGGGGAAGCTGTGGAGGCTTGTCCATGGGGATAGGGGCAAAATGGCACTACCGCCTAGAAGCTCCCTGGACAGTGCCCACCGCAGCCACAGACCAGCACCCCCATCCCTGGGGCCACTGGACACACAGCCAGACCGCAGGCCCAAAGAGGCCAAGGCCACAGGACCCTGCTTATGAGGCAGACGTCCAGGCCAAGTGCCCAGAGACCAGCAGCAGAGGGTGGCTTCCAAGGCCAGGGCAGGGGATGGGGAGTGATGCTCACGGCACGGGGCTCCTATCGGGGACACGGATGATCCAAGCTGGCCGAGTGATGGCTGCACAGCCTTGGACGTGCGGGAAAGCCCCGAGCTGCCCACTGGACATGGGCAGGGTCTTGGTATGTGAATTACCTCTCAGCAAATGGGCCCTCACACGAATGCCCATGACAGCAGCCCACGGAACAGCCCGAAACAGAGTCTCATTCACAGAGAGCGAGGGAGATGCCTGACGCGAAGCAGCTGGGAGGGCGCCCGCGGCCTGCGAGTGATGGCCCGGGGTGTTGTCCTGGGGGCTCTCGGGTCAATCCACTGGGGAGAAGCCCTGGAGCGCCCCCAGAGGCCAGAGTCCGCCTGTGTGTGCCTCGGCCACTAGGAAGCCGGACGCCTTTTTCCCAGGGGGGTTCGAGGAATTTCCACGTGGGCCTCAGCGAGAAGCCCAAACCCTAAACAGGCCCTGCCAGCTGCAGAATCCACAGGACAAAGTGCAAAGGGAACCCAGGCTCCCTCCATCAAAGTCACTAAGAGGGCCCCACTGAGCACCAGGCCCTGGTCGGAGGGACCCTCACACAGAGGACAGCGTCCCCAGCTTCTTCCCACAACGACCTCAAGACACAGCCTCAAACTGTGGCCTTGGCACAGAGGTGACTCGCAGAGCCCCGATCCCGGACCAGGCTCCCCTTCCCCCCACCCGGCTCCCCCACGCCAGCTGGCCAGGGCTGCCCAACGCCAGGTGCAGGGAGGAGTCTTCCTGGGGACCCTGGCAGGTGGGGGCAGCTGGACTCCTGTCCCTCAGCAGGGACCCCCACACCCTCCATGGGGGTGAGACAGGGGTAGCCTGGCCACGCCCCACCATAAGAGGTGCCCTCAAGTGGCCCTGGCTCAGGAGAGCATCTGGCCCCGCTGCCCAGAATCGCCCACTGCAGAGGCCCTGCCCGCTCTGGCACAGCCACCGCCTCTGGCAGGGTCCCTGCAGAACAGGAGTCTCCTGACCACAGGCCCCCCCACTCACCGCAGGGCTGGCAGCGGGAGCACAGCCTGCACCCTCCCAGAAAACCCCACCTACCGGGCTCTGGGTACTGCTCCCGCGTGGCTCTGACTGCGGCTGCAACCCCAGAGTGACCCCCAGGAGGACCCCAGCCCACCCCAACCCAGGTCCCCTGACCCCAGGCCCTGGTCCCTGCGGTGGGAGGCTGGGGACTCAGGAGGACGCCGCCTCCTGTGACAGTCCTCAGAGGTGCATGGGAACTGGCTCCGGCCCCGTCCGCTGCCCTCATTTCCTCTGCCGGCTTCCTCTGCGGGGGGTGGGGAGCCCAAGGCTGCTGGTCCCGCTTGCTGGCGCGAGTTCCTCTGTGAAAGGCAGGCAGGGGCTGCAGGGCCAGGCCCAGCGGGGCCCAGACGCCAAAGCCCTCCTGTCACTCACCGTGGCCTGCGGAGGGGATGGGGGTCTCTCCTCCACGGACACGCCGCCAAGGACAGAACCGCAGGCCGGGGCGCCACAGGGGGTGCTCTGCACCAGGCTCCCACGAGGGAGGGGCCGAGCGGGCCTCCCGTCTGCCTCATCCTGGGATGCAGAGGGGTCAGGTGGCCACGAGAAAGGCCCATCCCAGAAGAATCCAGTGAGCTGGAGACGGGAGGCCGGTGGCAGCAAGAATGGCACAGTGCTGGGCTCGCGGCCACACGCCAGGTCCGAGCAGACACGGGCCCTCCGCCTCCCTCGTGGACAGAGGAGGAGGCAGAGGACCAGCTGGCCAGTCGGGCGCCCTGGTGGGTTCTGAGGCTGGGCCAGCACGTGCCCTCGTTTTCTTCCAAGGATAACTCTTCCCAGGTGTAGTCAGAGGTTCCTGACACCTTGAGGCAGCTGTGCTCGCCCCTCAGACCCAAGAAGACCCCCAGATGCGTGTCCTGGGACCACGGGCTGCTGGCCCAGATAGCAAGGAACAGAGATGCTCAGTTCCTGAGGACGGAGGAGGACAGCGGCATGGGCAGGCCGCTCCCCTGAGGCAGTGACGGGGTCCTTCCTGCCCCTCGGCTCAGCGGCCCCAGGTGCTGCTGCGCTCACATCGCTCCAGCATCGGCCGTGGCCTCCCTCCCACAAGCACCACGCCGCCTGCTTTAATCAGGCCCACCCTCTGCAGTCCGAATTCATCTGAATTTGATCACAGCTGTGAAGATACTATTTCCGAATAAGGCCCCATTTGGAGGTCCTGGGTGGGCGTGGGCTTGGGGTGACATATTCCACTCAGCACGTAACTCCAGGGGGCACAGCCAGGAGCGCATTTCGCAGGCGGCCGGGGTGGCCGGCGAGTGCAGAGAGGACATGAGCAGGCACCGGCCCTGGACCTGCCGTGGCAGCCCCTGCGTTCTCTCAGGAGCCTCCAGGAGAGTGGGTGCTGCTGGACCCCGTTTCAGAGGTGAAACAGACACAGAGCAGTTGTGACGCCTGTCCATGTTCACACAGCACGACCCGGCCCCAGACACCAGCCCACAGCGGCACCCTCCCACAAGGCAGGGTCAGGGCTGGGAGCCAGGGTGGCAGCAGGCTTGGCGGGGAGTCCATGCAGCCTGAACATGCAGGGTGGCACGAGGCAGAGCTTCCAGAACGTTCCACACAACACAGTGGCTGCCAGCCAACCCCAGCCAGCTCTGGGGCACTCAGGCCCACAGGGCAGTCACCGCAGGGGCAGGTGCTGGGCCTGAACCCCCAGCAGAAGTGACTTCCTCTGGCGCACCCAGGGCTCAGGCCGGTCCTCTGGGTCACCGTGCCACACCATGGAGGGAAGCGCATAGCCTGGCCTCCTGGAGAATGTGTCAGAATGACGGAGATGGTCTCCCTGACCCATGCCTGGGGGTCTGGGGCCTCATACCCACACCCTCCCCCAGTGCCCGCACCCAAGACGGCAGGTGGGAGCCGGACCCATGCCCAGGGCCCACGGCCTGCGTGTGACCACTCCCCAGGGCCACTGTCCACACAGACTTCCCATGGGACCCTCTCCAAGAACCCACCTCCGCCTGCACACCTGCAGCGTAAGGGTCTTGGCGGGGGACCTGAGAGGAAGGGTGAGGACAGGCCCACCCCCAAAGGCACAGCCCGCCCTGGCCATCCTCTGAGACCCCAGGGGGCGAGAGGAGGACAGGTGCTCAAAGGGCAGGTGCTGGCTGCCTGAGCCGGAGTGGTCTGGGCAGCTGGGGCAGCAGCTGCCTTCACCCAGACCCCACACCTGGCACCTGGGCAGCGTCAACTGTGGGGCACCTTCCCAGGGCAGGACTCTGGGGACCACCCAGACCCACGCCTCCTGCTCAGCCCTTGACCCCGAGTCCAGCCCTGTCCCTGCCACTGAAGCCGTGCCTGGCCCGGGGCACCACCTCCTCTGCCCTCTCCCCACTGACGCCATCATCCCGAGGCCCAGCGCGCCCAGCCCTGTGCGGTGTCCGGTTCACACGAATTCTGAGTGAGCACCATGGCCAGCCACAGGCTCTTCTCCCATGAACCCCCATGGTGCCCGGTTCGGGCCAGATACAGGGAGAGGCCTTGAGCAGGGGACAGGATGTGAGCCGAGGGACAGCAGAGAGGTGGAGGTGGGGAAGATGGTGAATCCAGGGTGCCATGTCCTCCGGGAGCTTCCACAAACTCCAGGCCCTGCCTACTGGTCAACAGTGACGGCTCTGCGCCAGGGGTCAGCTTTGACAGGCACTGCCCATTGCCCAGGGACCCACCCTTAGCTCAGGGCACCACTGCTGTCCCCTCAGACCTGGGCATCACAGCCATTCCCACCTTACAGATAGCAAAGCAGGCATGGAGAGGCAGTCACAGAAGGGCCCCTCAGCAAACCAGAGGTGGCCCCAGGGAAAACCCCTGCTCCTAATGGGGTAGAGCACATGACCCCCCCCAGGCTGAGCACGCCCCTCCAGAAGCCGAAGCGAGGTGGCGTCCCATGCCCACTCCCAGCCTAGGACAATGCCAGGCCCCAGGGCTCAACCACGGTGACCTGAGGCCACGTCTGGGTGGGTGAAGGCTGGGGAGCAACAATGTCAGCCCCAACCCTTGGGGCACTCAGGTAGAAGGACTGACCCCTGCTTGCTCAAGGCCATGGCATCCCCTTCCTGCCAGCCTGGACCTGGCCATCCTGCCCACGTGTCACCTCCATCATCCTGCCTTTCCTGGCCCCCTGCCTACCCTAGTCTCCCCAGAGCGAGGTTTCACTTATGCAGAGCGGATCTCAGAGGGCTTGGGTGAGTAGCCCAAGGCCACACAGCACAGAGGCTGGAGGGCTGCAGCTGCCAAGAAATACCCCAGGGTCACTTACCCACGCTCCTGAGTGCCAGGGAACTGGGGGAAGAGCTGGGCCCCAGAGGAGGCAGCTCTTCCCAGTGTTCAAGCAGGCTCCTGGACCAGGTGCCCTCTGCCCCTGCCCTGCCTGCATCCACCTGGTGTGGAGGGTCAGAGGCCCAGGCAGCCCACAGTCTGTGCCCACAGCCTCCACTCTAGCTCAGGCCCTGTACTCTCGGGCGTCTCTGCACCCTGTACCCCAACTGCCGTCACCTTTGTGGAGACTGGCACCAGCTCCTGTGGGGAACAAGGAGCTGGCCCAGCGGCGGGGCGGGGCCTGGCGAACACAGCGAGACCCCCAAGCCCAGGTGCTGGCACTGCCCCAGATGCTGAGTGACACACAAGCCAACTGCCAGAGCCACGGGCGCAGGCCCCTCCCCTCTGGGCGTCCCCACAGACTCAAGCAGCTTCCGAAGGAACCAGCTCACTCCATTTTGGAGATGGCGAGGAGCCAGCCTGGAGCTGCAGCAAGCCCGGGGCCTGGGGGTCTCTGTCCCGGCACCGTCACCTCCAGCACAGAGAGCCAAGTGCTCACGAAGCACTGAGCCCACCCCAGCCCACCACAGGCACCGGCAGCCCACGCTACAGATGGGAAAACCGAGGCTCACAGGCAAGGCCAGGCAGAGGGAGCCCCCTCTCCTCTCTAACCCCCTCATGGGGGCTGCTGCAGAGCCTAGACCCAGCCCCTTAATCTGAAGGACAGTTCTCTTCCCCCCCACTCCCTGGCACCAGCACCCTGGGCAGCCCCTCCTGGCCGTGGGACCCGGAGCCCAGCAGGTGCTTGCAGCTGTGGCCCAGCGTATCGCGGAGGAGAGATGCCCCTTGCCGCCAACAACTCCTCTAAGTCATTGAACGGACACATTAGAATTGTTCAGATCACAGCTGTTTACCTAGGGAAGGGCAGAGCTGGTGCTGCTCGGGGGCGGGGGAAGGGGCCTCTCAGGGTGAAGGGCAAGGCTGGGCCCCAAGGCAGGGTGTGGGCCAAGGGTCCCCTCTGTTCTGGGGACAGAAAAGACCAAGCACCCTGGGCCATGCCTGGCATGGAGATGCCATGGGGACCGGCCCCAAGCCTCCTCCACCCCCTGCCGTTGGGCGCCTACAGCAGCTGCTGGGCTCTGGGCCTTCGCCTGCCCACCACACAGGGACTTCTGAGCCCCAGGGGTCACTGCAGGAAGTCATTTGTGAGCAAGTGACGCCCACAGCCCTAAGCCTAACAGACAGACCTCCCACCGGCTCCCCTTCCCCTGGGGAAACGCCTTCAGACCCAGACTGGCCCAGGGGACCCCCAGGCATCCCTGCCGCGCTGTGTGCACCGGCCCCACTCCAGGAGACACAGGAGAGCGAGTCACAGGGAAACACGCTTTGTTTAGGCTGGCTCAGCCTTGTGCCAGAGCCCCAGGGACACGTGGGTGGGACTTGGCCCTGGGGCATGGATGGCACCGGGTGGGGGGGGTGGGGAGTGGGAGAGGTTATCTCCCACTCAGGACAAGCAGGGGCCAGATCTGGAGAAGCAGGCGAAGCAAGCCTACAGCCTCCTGATGACAGACGGGGCTTCCAGCTGTCCCCAGCCCCCTCTGCCCATCCCAGCTGCCCACTGCAGCCAGGAGGCCAGGCAGCTGTGGGCAATCGTGCCCTGCCTGGTGCACTGACCATAGGGGGTAAGAGGCCTGCTCAGGTCCCCTGCAGCCAGCTTGACAGTGTCATCTCAGGCCCCCACTGCCAAGGGATCTGGGCACCCACCAAGGCCCATCTCTTCTGAGTCTCTGCTCACTGGGCTCTGTCATGTGGACCGGCCCCTGCTCCCCTCTCATCCCTGCCGGCTGCTGGTGGCTGGGCAGGGCTCCGAGAACCGCTCCCATCCTGGGAAGGAGCCTCCCATGCCAAGGCCCGGACCCAG